ATCTGTAAAATGGTGAGAATAATAATACCGTCTTCATCAAGTTGCTTTGAGAAGTAATGAATTATTGTATAAAAACCATTTGGGGCAGTAATTGGTAGAATCAGCTCTAAATAAGTGCTTGCTAGTATTGCCTGGAGAGTTGGAGAGGGGTTTCTGCATCGTGAGGGATACTTGCAGTCTTACATTTAGGAAGGACCTCAGAGACCATCAAGCACATGTTTACTTGACAAGTCTTTGATCCATCTCAACTTACAAGTTTACAATTGTTTATTGTCACGTAAAACAGTTTTTTGGAAATGAGTAAATTTCTATTTCTAGCTTAGGATAGGTGTCTGACTGCTTGCACTACCTCTTTTATAAAGGGTGAGGAGGAGCTCAGAGTGGGGTGAATTGACCATATTACTTCTCTGTACCATGCAATATTGTATTTACTATATTAGAGTGAGAAAAATAGTATAGAAATAATACCTAATGTATAAAAAGTGCATTATGGGAAGCCAAGGGCTAAGGAGTACTTAATTTTCTGAGTCCTTGATATGAAAAAGATGCATATTTTAAGCTAAAGTCTTCCTACTCATAGAAAACACCATGTAGAGGAACACCACTATGAACTTCTGATTTTGCTAGAATAAATACTGGGATGCCATTATCATTCATTCAACTTAAATAAGATCTATGTTACTAAGAATTTATTACACCTAGCTAAAATCTTCTTCTGTAAAATCACCTTCTTCCGCAATAGCCCCCACCAGAGGAGGCTCCCGTTCTGCACACTCACGAAAATAACCAGACACTACATGGCATAGGATGGGGAGTAGCAAGGCTTCTTTAGATGATAACCAGAGTTTTGTTGTGCTTTTCCCACTCCAGAGATGAGTTAACTAGAGGAAAAGTAGGAATCTTAATAGAGAAGAATAGACTCTGTGGAGCAAGTGTCTGACCTTTCTATATGTAGGAGAACTTTAAGCCAGGTTTCTGTCCTTCTATAACCTACAAGCAACAGTGTCAAGAACAATGTCTTTCCATTTCCCCTCACCCCCGTCCCATCCCCAGGGGTGAGAATAGGTATGATACTCTTAAGGAGAAGGTATGAGTGTAGGGGTCTTCCTGAGGGGAACAAAGATGCTCTCCATCTCAAGGTGATTAAATAATAATTACTCCCGTTGCTGTTGAGTGGATTCCGACTCACAGCGACCTGACAGAACAGCATAGAACTGCCCCATAGGGTTTCCAAGGAGTGGCTGGTGGATTCTAACTGCTGACCTTTTTGGTTAGCAGCTGAGGTCTTAACCACTGCCCCACCAGGACCGTCTCTGGGGGAGAGAAACTCCTGAAGTATAACCTTACTAGAGCTGTGGGGCCAGAGAGATCAGTGTGATAGACACAACTCAGTATGCAAAAAATCTTGATCTGAAGCCAGTATATGATTCTCAGCAATTTACTTACTTATATTCAAGCAGTTCTTTATACTTTCCTCAACACTTTAGCACAAGGAGTCCCTGGGTGGTGCAAGTGATTAATGTGCTTGGCTGCTAACTAAAAGGTTGGAAGTTTGAGTCCACAAAGGCACCTTGGAAGACATGTCTGGTGATCTACTTCCGAAAAATCAGCCACTGAAAACTCTACAGAACACAGTTATACTCTGACACACAAATGGTCACCATGAGTCGGAATCAACCCCACGGCAAGGGGTTAAAGACTTAGCACTTGTATTTCATTCAATCTTCAGAGTAACCTTTGAATGAGACAGGATAGTTGTTATTTTGCTCATTTCACAGACTTGCCTAAGGTCACAAAGCTGGTAAAAGTCAGAAATGGATCCCCCATCTCTGTTTCCTCACTTTCAGTTTAGTGCTTTTTTTGTATTACATCAAACTCTAAGCACATGACAGTCTTTCCAGTAGGCCCTTAAGAATTATACACATGAGCGTTCAGATGTACACACGTATATGTGTTTAGCATGTGCGTATGTGTGCATAAACTTTTTTTCATTATAAAATTAGCTATACTCGTTGCAGAAACATGGGCAGAAGAATAAGAAGAAAAATGTGTCCCATCACCTAAAAGCTATTACTATTGCCATTTGGTATACTTCCTAGGGAATCAAGTAAAATCTTGCTATGAGCAGAAAGATTTCACAGGGTCAGAGTATATTTGAGGTGCAATGTTAGAACAGTTTTTAGAAGTTTGTCTTTAGAAGTATATGGCCACATTTCCTTCCTCAAACCTACTTGGGGTGTACTCATTTAAATTTATGTCTTGCGGTAGCATATTCAATTTCTGGCTAACCATCTACTACCTCATAAGATCCCCCCAAGTCATCTCATTTCTTCCCCTGACCCTTCTCCTCTAACCAGAGTGAAAAAAAGATGAAAGTTGTCAAAAAACTTAAGTTCTCCTCCCACTTGTAACTAACTAATCATGTGACCTTAAGTGAGTTACCTCACCCTCCTGAGTGTGAACTTCGTACTCTTTAAAATAAAGAGTTTAGTTCAGATGATTTTTAAGTTCCTAACCAGGCCTAACTTTGTAGGTTTCCATTATTAAATAAATTCAGGCCAGAGTGTAAATGCCTGATACTCCTGATACTGTATTTTGAAGGTGTTCTCTTCTTGTTAGCCTAGTAATTTACTCATACATCCACTCATTCTTTTATATACTCATTCAACAGATAGTTGCTAAGTATCTGCTATATAGTCCGTGAGAGCCAAAATACAACCTTGAGTATATCCCACCTGAATTTGGAGACCATCTCAAGAATAGATTTGATGCATTGAACACTAATGACCCGAAGACCAGACGAGTTGTGGAATGACATCAAGAACATCGTACGTGAAGAAAGAAAGAGGTCATTAAAAAGACAGGAAAGAAAGAAAAGACTAAAATGGATGTCAAAAGAGACTTTGAAACTTGCTCTTGCACTTAGAGTAGCTAAAGTGAAAGGAGGAAAGGGTGAAGTAAAAGAGCTGAACAGAAGATTTCAAAGGACGAGTCAAGAAGACAAAGTATTATAATGAAAAGTGCTAAAACATGGAGTTAGAAAACCAAAAGGAAAGATAATGTTCAGCATTTCTCAGGCTGAAAGAACTGAAGCAAAAACTCAAGCCTTGAGTTGCAATGTTGAAGGATTCTACAGGGAAAATACTAAACGGCGTAGGAAGCATCAAAGGAAGATGGAAGGAATATACGGAGTCACTATACCAAAAAGAATTGGTCAATGTTCAGCTATTTCAGGAGGCAGCATATGATTAAGAATGGATGGTACTGAAGGAAGGGGTCCAAGGTGCACTGAAGGAATTGGCAAAAAGCAAGTCTCCAGGAATTGATAGAATATTAATTGAGATGTTTCAACAAACAGATGCAGGGCTGGAAGTGCTCACTTGCCTATGCCAAGAAATTTGAAAGACTGCTACCTGGCCAACCAACTGCAGGAGATCCATATTTATGCCTATTCCAAAGAAAGGTGATCCAACAGGATGCGGAAATTGTCAAACAATATCATTAACATCACACACAAGTAAAATTTTACTGAAGATCATTCAAAAGTGGTTGCAGCAGTACATTGACAGGAAACTTCCAGAAATTCAAGCCAGTTTCAGAAATGGATGTGGAGTGAGGGATATCATTGCTGATATCAGATGGCTCTTGACTGGAAGCAGAGAGTAACAGAAAGATGTTTACCTGTGTTTTATTGACTATGCAAAGGCATTTAATTGTGTGGATCATAACAAATTATGGAGAACATTTCAAAACACGGGAATTCCAGAACACTTAATCGTGTTCATGCAGAACCTGTACTTAGATCAAGAGCAGTCCTTCGAACAGAACAAGGGGATACTGCTTGGCTTAAAATCAGGAAAGGTGTGTGTCAGGGTTGTATCCTTTCACCATACCTATTCAGTCTCTATGCTGAGCAAATAATCTGTGAAGCTGGACTATACGAAGAAGAACGTGACTTCAGGATTAGAGGAAGACTTATTAACAACCTGCGATATGCAGATGACACAACTTTGCTTGCTGAAAGTGGAGAGGATTTGGGCACTTACTGATGAAGATCAAAGACCACAGCCTTCAGTATGGATTACACCTCAACATAAAGAAAACAAAAATCCTCACAACTAGACCAATAAGC